CAATCAAATTCTAATACCGTGGATCACACTCCCCGTTACCCTCAGCGCACTCGAAAATGTTCTGACAAGTTTGGTTGGTCCAACTCTAATTACTCTTTTAATTTTTGTTCTTTCATGACTTCTATACATTCTCTGTTTGAACCAACCTCCTATAAGGAGGCTATACTTGATCCTCTTTGACAACAGGTTATGAATGAGGAGCTTTCTGCGTTACATAAGACTCGAGCTTGAGAGAGTGTCTTTACCTCCTAGTAAATGTCTCATTAGTTGTAAGTGGGTTTATAACATCAAAACTCCATCTGATGGTTTTGTGGAAAGTTACAAGGCTAGATTAGTGGCCAAGGGATTTGCTCAAGAGTATGCGCTTGACTACGATGAGACCTTTGCTCCAGTGACTAAGATGACCCCGTGTCATACAATAATTGCTATGGCAGCTATTCATCAGTGGAGCTTATCTCAGATGGATGTGAAAAACGCTTTCCTTCATGGTGATTTATCTAAAGAGGTCTATATGAATCTTCCTCCTAGGTTGTCTTGTAGTCCTGGTCATGTGTGCAAATTTCATAAGGCTTTATATGTTCTTAAACAGGCCCCAAGAGAATGGTTTGAAAATTTTTCTTCAGTCATATGTGACTTAAGCTTCTGTGCTAGTGATCATGATTCTGCTCTCTTCCTTCAATCCACTTCTTCTGGTTTCATTCTTCTATTACTTTATATGGATCACATGATTATTACAGGTGATGACAATGTTGAAATTCAACTGTTGAAAACTCAGTTACAGGATTATTTTGAGATGAAAAATTTGGGTCCACTTCGATATTTCTTAGGAATTGAGATTGCTTTCTTTCCCAAGGGTTATCTTCTTTCTTAGTCAAAATATGCCTCAGATGTTATTCAGCGAACTTGCTTATCGGATACTCGAACGGTTAACACACACACCCTTGGAGCTCAATGTTCGTTATACTTTCTAGATGGTTCTCTCCTACCTGATCCTACCTTATATCGTACTATTGTTGGGATTTTGGTGTATCTTACTGTCACTCGTCCAGATATTGCTTATGCGGTTTATATGGTTAGTTAGTTTGTTGCTACTCCTACCACACTTCACTGATCTGCAGTTCTTCAGATTTTTCGATATCTACGGGAAACATTATATCAGAGTTTATTATTTTCTTCTTCTTCGTCTCTGGAGCTCCGTGCTTACTCTGACGCGGACTGGGCTTGTGACTCTATGGATCGCAAATCCACCACTGATTTTTGTCTTTCTTGGTGATTCTCTTATTTTCAAGAAAAGCAAGAAACAAACTGTAGCTCGATCTTCTACTGAGGCTGAGTATCGTGCTATGACATTCACCACAACAAAGATAGTTTGATTGCGTTGGTTACTTGCTGATCTTGGCATTTCCTTGACTACTCCTACTCCTACTCCTGTATATTGTGATAACACCAGTGCTATCTAGATTGCTCACAACTCTGGTATTTTATGAGCACACCAAATATATAGAGATTGCTTGTCACTTTGTGCGTCATCATCTTCAGTTGGGCACAATCTCTCTTCCATATCTTCCTTCTACTATACAGTTGACAGATTTCTTCACAAAAATCTCACACTATCGTGCGCTTTCGTTTTCTCCTTAGCAAACTCTTACTGTTTGATGCTATCACATCATGAGTTTGAGAGAGGATGTTAGAGTAATCTAGTATATTAGCATTAGGGATAGAATAGTCATTTATGATACTATGTTTTGCCCTAGTATATAAGACTTTGATAGATTATTATAGCAGTTATATATTTTCGTTCTTTTCTCTTTCTCTCCCCTTTGTTTTGATCAATATTATCACCTTCTACATCAAGCAATGCGGGTAAACTTCTCAGTTTGTTGAGCATACTGTTGAGCCTATTGTTAGTCCTGATGCGCCTGTTGTTATCACAAATAAGACTGCAGGTGGTAATCCATTTGATTTACCTAATGAGAGTTTGTAAATGGAGGATGATGATTTAGCGCATCGTTATCTACGACATGAACGCTAACCAATTGTCCGTTATGGTTGGGTCGTCGGGGCTTTATATCCAATCTTTGGTTATGTTTCTTATGATGATCTGTTTCCTACATTTCGAGCTTACAGTATGGTCTTATCAGATACGCCGATTCCTCACTCTATTTCAAAGGCTATGTGGTAGCCTCAGTGGGTTCTTGCTATGTTGACAAAGATGGACGCTCTTCAACGTAATCATACATGGGGTCTTGTTTCTTCACTTTCGTAGGTGAAGCTTGTTGGCTGTCACTAGGTTTACACCCTGAAGTTTCTTGCGAATGGTACGATTGATCATCATAAGGCAAGGCTAGTGGCGAAGAGTTGTACTTAGGTTCTAGGTCGTGATTTTGGAGCTACCTTTATCCTCATGGCAAAGTTGACTATTGTTAAATTGATTATTTCTCTGGCTGCCTCAAATTCTTGGCCCCTTCATCAGTTAGATGTGAAGAATGCATTTTTTCACAATGATCTAGACGAGACTATTTATATGGATGCACCACTTGTCTTTTGTAATGAGGGAGAGTATGCTGAGAAGGTGTGTCGACTGTGTAAGTCTCTTTATAGACTGAAACAGTCGCCACGAGACTGGTTCTCTCAATTTAGTGGTGTAGTTGTATATTTAGGGTTCACCAAATGTCATTCTGATAATACATGCTTCATTCAACGAAATGCTTCTGAATAGTGTGTCATTCTCTTGATATATGTGGATGATATTATTATTACTAGGATGACATTTCTGGGACTGCACAAGTCAAGGTTAACCTTGGGAAAGCCTTCAATGTAAAGGACCTTGAATTTCTATGGTACTTTCTTGGAATTGAGGTTGCCCGTAGCAATAGAGGTATTGTTCTCTCTCAAAAGAAGTACGTTCTAGATCTTCTCTCGGACACTGAAATACTAGGGTGCAAACCAACATTATCACCCATGATTCCAAACTTGAAGCTTAATGCTAAAGGTGAGGAGCTGAGAGATCTAACTGTCTATCAGAGGTTGATTGGTAGGCTTATCTACCTAGTCAACACTAAGTCATACATCTCATTGTTGTCAACCGAGTTAGTCAATTCATGCACAAGCCGTGTCAGTCTTATCTGGATGCAGTATATCACATTCTTCGATACCTCAAGTCTTGTCCAGGACTTGGGTTGTTCTATGCATCAGGGTCTCAAACCGATTCTCTAGCTTGTTATTCAAATTCAAATTATGGGGGAACTTGTGAAGGTTGATCTACTATGGATTTTTGTATTTTTCGAGGGACTCATCTTATCTCTTAGAAAAGCAAGAATCAGGCAGTTGTCTCCCTCTTGTCAGTAGAGACAGTATCGGGCACTGGCACTTGGCACGTATGAGGCTATCTGGCTACGATTGACTCTTGGTGAGTTGGGATTTCTAATAAATTCTTCATCCATATTGTATTGTGATAATCTATCAGTTATTCAGCTCGCTTCTGACTCATTACTGCACGAGAAGACGAAGCATATAGAGATCGATGTTCACTTTCTTCAGTAGAAAGTTAGATGTGGTATTGTCACCCCATCATTTATGGGGACCAGTGATCAGATTGCAAATGTTTTCATCAAACCTGTCACTTTTCGGGACTCCATTGTCAAACTTGGCTTAATTGACATTTTTGCACCTAACTTTGGGGGGGGGGTGTTGGAGTTATAGTCTAGTTTATTAGTTTTCCAGTTTTTCTCTTTTTTCTTTTTTATCCTTAATATGGATTTTATGTCTTACCCAGACTAGAGGGGTATTCTGGTCACTTGAACCTGTTATTTGACTATATATAAGGCTCTGCACTCAATTTGTGCATCACTTTGCTGTCAAATAATTCTAATAGTAAAAAATTAAAGTTGGTCAAAATTAAAAGACTCTATTTGGTTTAATGTCTTTTATAGATTGTATATTCCAAGTCACTAATAACCTCTTTCAAAATGTCTTGTCAAAGAACTATGTGATAGTAGGACACTTATAATTGTTTTGTCTAAACCTGGTATGATATGTCAAATAACAAGACTTTAGTCGTTAATATTTTTAAATTTTGAGCTCGAGTCTCCAAAAGATGATTTTTTTGACTCAATGCATATGCTTTAAGGGTGATTGCATATGGTCTTGAAGTTACATGACAGTTATAAATTTAAAGAACACGGGGCTCAGATGACACTCAGTTATCGAAAAATTGGTTTAATTGTGGGAACCCATTTTTTCATACTAAATGATTTCCTTTCAGGCATTGGTGTACCAATTTTAACTTATTGTTGATAATTTCAATTTGCAAAAACAACTACTCATTTAATACAACTTTCCACACAAATATAATACATATACATACAATTTCATGATATATATATATGGTTAAGTCATTAATTTCAGCTTTCTTTCTTTACAAACTAAATAATATCAATCTTACTAATGATTTCCATCTGCAAACATTATATGTGCTAAGTGTTTCTCTTGTTTTGCTAATGAAAAAAGTTTAAGGTAAATACTTAGATAGCTAGCTACGATGAAGTAGTCCTTACCCGCCAAATAAGCGTTATTTCCCTACCAGCCCAACCTTAGTCAGAATAATGCGCACCACATAATGGTGCTATTACTTTTAAAAATCATTAGTTACAAACTATATAGAACTGTTTATTTATTAATAACTGTGAACCATAATAATCATGCATCTTTTTTGACTTTGTGAATATTAAGTAAACTCAATATGCTCACAATTACCTTTAAGACATGTCCATGGGGCAATACGACGTCCCTTATGAGACTCGAACTAGAAATGTCAATATATTAACCACGGAAACTTTGTCATCCAAACAGCCGTGATGGGTTATATTATATACAACGAATTTCATTAGTTACCCATGGCAAAGCACATACATTTGTCAAAATTTTGTCATGAAATATGAAATATTGGATGCTTTAATATAATTCATTGAACAACTTAAGAAATAAGACAGAAATAGGACTTACATTTGAATGATGTGGCAGGTGGTGCCATTTTCGAAGTTACAATCGCATTTGATGGATGGATTATTTATTGGATCCTCCAACTCTGTTGTATTGATGGAAGTTCCAGTGCATGGCTCTCCACTTATGTTCCACAATCCTGCTGGGGGTTGAGCATCCCATTGTTGGAATAAAGAGTTCAATGCTCTTGCTGTTTCACCACAATGTTCCAACAAACACAATATCATCACTATAACATAGGAAATTGTGTTTGTATTCAAGATCACTCTACATTGGTCTCATACAAAAATAATTTTGTTTTTTCGGAGGAAAAAACGAGAATTGTTATTAGACCGTTTTGATGTGGTGTTTGAATTTAGTCTTTGACTTTGGGTCATCCAGTAATTCTGCACGTTGCATTATTTTCTCCAAACCATCATGTCTTTTTTTTTAGGTGATGGGTGTTTTTGGTGGGGGAAAGGGGGGGGGGGAAGGTTGAGGACAATAGTAGAACTCTTACGCACAACAGTACAAAAGTTGGGTTCCACAGGCATATATTCTTTCTTGTTATTGCTGAGTTTTGAAATCCTAACACATTCGCTTCCTTCAGATGTTATGCCCATCATTAATCAGTTTACTACAATATCACTGTCATGCACATATATTAATATGTTCAGCATTACATTATGTTATGTCTGGTGAATTTGTTTGTTCATAGTGTAAACTACTCAATTTTGAAAAACAAATTTATGCTTTTTACCTTGTATTGGGATCTTATATTTGCCTTGTACGGGGATTTCTTCACTATCAAAAATAGCAAAGAAATTTTCTAAGTTTTCTCAGAGTTGTTGTATTTACATATGCTATAGAGACCAAACTCTCCAATCTATAGATCAAATCTGGAAGTAAAAGCCCATATTCAACCTATATATGTATACCTCAACCTCAAGCTGTGATACATCACATTGTATTCTTTGAAAGACTTCAAAAAATTTAAGACATCACATGGCTTTAGAGGCATTGTACTTCAATATTTTTGCAAATGATAAGAATATGCCTCTAAAGCCATATGGCGTTTGGTTTTTTGTCCCTCCATACAACAATGTTATACACATAGAAAGGAAAAATAGTGTCTTACTTTTGGATCAAATTGCTATTATTTTCAAAATATTCAGGGTATAATGTAGGACCTTTTAATCTTCAAGAGGCAGATTAAAAATTTTAGAATTTTTTAGGGGCAGTAAAGTGTCATTTGACTCAAACAAGTGGATATTACGTTTTAATTTTTAAAAGTTGATACCCATGTGACGAGATTTTTTAACTTTCCCCAATTTGACTGTAAAGGTGTTATTGTTTGGAAATTATGATTACTTAAATGCATTATTTAAATGTATAGCACAAACTTTCCAAAGCAACCGAGGCTGCTGACAGGGTGACAGCTGAGCTAATGTTGGAATCTGACTAATAAAATATATATATATATATATAGATGGCCACCGAAAATGAAAATGACAGATGAGGGGACCTCAATGGCCTGTTCCATCTCTATTGATAGGTGTGGAGGCCAATTTTGTATAACTTGTTTTTGTGATACTACTACTTGTGTAAATCATTGATAAATTGTATTCTAATTATTGTTCTATAGAACTATAGAACAATTAGGAGAATTTAGAGAATTTGTGATTTTAGTGCGTTTAAATAGTAGTTGTAATGAGAGTAGGGGAGAGGAGTGAATGAAATGGGTAAGTGGGACTTAGACTATCTCCAATCTGGACTCAAATTTGAGTCATTGATACAAAGAGCTACAATGAACAAATTTTAGAATATTCCCTTGAGGTTTAATATTTATTTATTTTTTAATATTTATTATACTCTACCCTTATAGTTTGACAAAATTACTGAGTATGCCCTTGAGATTTCGAATCAATCTATATTTTCAATAGACTTAAATTAAAATTCTAAATCTTTTTAGGAAGAAATGTTAATGGGTGGGGCTACTCTCTCCCCACAAATATTCATTTTTATCTCATTAACATCTCTATTATTAAATTACTAAATCCACCCTTTCTATATCCCCCCAATTAATAACTAAATTCACCTATTACTATCTACACCCTTTTAATAAGTAAGATCATCTTATATCTTCTCATAATTAGGGTTTCATTTACTATTTCCTCATAAATTCAAAAAAGTACTTTTTCAATATTGGATTTCTCCAAGAATCCGACAACCACCCTAAGGTGTCTGATATCTCCCAAGTTGAAGGAGCAGCCCGGTTGAGAGCCAAAGATGCCTCTTGGCAAGGGTCCCCTATGATAATTTCAGACTTCGGGCAACGTATTTTTGGCGACCACAAGGACAATGTTGCTTCCATGTCCACAGCTTAAGCTAAATACATGCTTTTCCAATTTAGTCTAGACAACGATCAAAAATTTAGTCTAGACAACGAATTAGGGTTTCAGAAACATCTTGAGAATCAATTTGACTATTCTATAAGGAAGTCAAAGTTAACCAAAACAATCTTAATACCATAACACAATGAATAAACCATTTTTCCTTGTTGCAAACTTGTAATAACTAATATGATGCATACACATACACACACATAGAAACCCTAAATTAGAAATTATTAAACTTGAAAAAGGTACCAAAACACAACAAAAATAATGAAAATTCATACAGTATAAATGAAATTAAACATAAAATTAAATCGAAAACTAATACTAACATGTATCTCGCTAGAGAAATTCATGATGAGCCCAAATCTAACTGGTTCAGGCTCAATAATTCAAGTAAGCCCAAATTAGCTAAAAGACAGGTCAAGCCCAATTCGTGAATTCAATCCAGCCCAAGGTTCAAAGAGTTCAAGAAGATTAGAGCACGTGAAGAGCAATCATTGGGATAGTCACTCTTGAAGATCAAGACAATCTTTAATTGTACTTACCATTTGTAGCTATCCTCCTCAAAGGACTAGTGTCTTTACCCTCACTTCACCGCTTCAACTAAGGTTGTATACTTATAAATTGTAAACTCTGTCTACATGAGAGGGCACCTCTCTACACACCCTTCACATAACTTTTTCTCTCCTACCTATTATACCTCTCACAGAGCTAACATTTGCACTCTCTCACTTACTATTTCATCAATAAAGACCACCGGTTACTGTTGCCGTTTCTTAGAGTGGAATATGTCACCCTAACCAAACCACTATATATATGTGTGTTGACCCAATATTTACCTGTTTGCCATTGATTGCTTTATTAATTATTTCATTAATTCTCCTGCATCATTCACTCAACTGTTAATCGTGCATAACTCTATTTTGTGCATCATTAATTCAGATTGAAAAAGTATATTTGTGAATGTACAAAATGAGTTAATGAATGAAACTTTAATTGTGAAAAGATATAATGTTGACTTATTTATTAAAATGGTGTATATAATATAAAATGAGCTTAGTTACTAATGGGGTAAATATAAAAAGAAATGAACTTAACACTTTGATAATAGCCACACCCAATATTATTGACCTAATTATTTTGACATTGCATTTCAAGTTGATTTCTTTTGACTTCGGTGGTTGCAGTGTCATTGTTTTTGACGAAAGCCATATGTAAGCGTAGCGCGTACTTGAATCTCTCCAAAGGAGCTGAGGTAATGTTAAGAGATATGTTTATAAATTATTTGACCAATAAACTAGATGGAAGAAGAAGGTGGCCATCGGGAAATAATGGATGGGGGGCCCTCAATAATGGTTTGTCCCATTTTCATTTGTAGGTCTCATAGTGGAGGTGTCTTTCGTATACAGATCATCACCTTATGAGATTTCACACCAACTTAAAATCCACCAACCTAAAGGGTTGATTCAATTTGGCTAAGGATAGACTGACACAACATAAATCTTTATATACAAAAATCTTTGTTTAGCCGAAAGCATAAACAAAAATCTTGAAAATTTTAAACTAATATGCTTACAAAAGTTAATTATCCCTCCCATATGGGATGTACACAGTATAAGAACTCCACACTTGAATGCAACGAGAAACTGCTGGATATGAAATGAAAGATTGTTTTAAGCAACTCAGAAGGAAGCAACATGAAGTTCTATCATCGAAATCAGAACTTTGATTAGTTAACGTTCTAAATTGATCAAGAAAATTCTACGTCCGAAGCTATACCCAAGTTAAATTCCTAGCCCACATCGAATATCTTTATATACAATATGTATGTATGTATGCATATGTACATATAAATATATGTATAGAGAGAGAGAAGAGGGCACCTTCAGATGGATCAAGAGTGCCGTTTTGAGCACTGGAGTTCCGAAACAAAAAGAGTGCAAGGAAGCTAAGCCAGCAGAAGAGAGAAAGCGCAGCTGAAGGTAGGAACTTCGGCCCGGAAGAAATCATCTTCTAATTCTGATTTGGAGGAATCCAGCTTTCAACCACAGACCAGAGAGAGAGAGGTCCCTGTATAGTGTATTGTATATTCGCGTGTAGCAGTGGCGGGCGCGCCACAGAGAGAGAGAGGGACAGGTGGATAAGGTATGACATAAACATCTTGAAAGTTGAGCGGGTTTTGTTATTAAATCCATGTTGAATTTAACCAACAGAAATGTTATGCATATTAATTTTTTTATTAAATTTTTCATCTTAAATGGTCTAGTATAATTTTTAAGAAAATTTAAAGACCGATCTTTATCTCTATGAACTTATTTGGATTTAAATTCGCCAAAAAAACTTATATGTTATAAAGTTCATTTTTTGTCAATTTTACCAGACTTACCTTTAGAAATGAAATAAAATTAAAAATTAAAAATTCCTAAATTTTAAGAATTTGAATAACATTAAAAAAATTTATATCTTATATCTATCTATATTCATATATAGGTTAGGACTATATATATATATATATATATATATATATATATATTAAAATAATAACATTCAACTTTCCATAACTAACCAAATCAACATTTTAAAGGGTATTTTTAAAATTTTTAAAAAAAAAAGTGGATTTAATTTCATACTAATGAGATCAAAAACGGACTTACCCTCAAATAAATTTTTTTTACGGACTCAAGTCATTATAAGTCTATCTAGGAGGACTCAGTTCTAATTTTTACTAATTTTTATTATTAAATATTAATGAGATTCACTTATTTGACAATAGTAAAAACTATGTCACATCAAATAAAGAGTCGATAAAAAATCTTGGTCAGAATAACATCGTTGGCTAACTAATGGATGAATTGCACTTTGTATTTGAAAATTTAAAAAAAAAATTATTTAAACTTTTAAAGATTAAATTTTTTATATTATACCCTAAAAATATTAAAAGTTATACAATATATTCTTTCTATTACTCATCGTGATAATATTAATAGGTGATATTTGATAAAAATAAGTAATAAAAATTAATTGAAAGACTACATTATAATACTTTAAATATATTAATGGTGCAATTTACAAAATTTAATTTTTAAAATTATAAAATAAATTTTTTTAAATCTTTTAGGATGCAAAGTGAAATTGTCCTTTAACTAATCGATAATTGTAATATCTTATGGAATCTAATTAAGATACAAATAGGTTTCAATATAAATACATATTTTTCGTCAAAAACA